TCCCAACACAGATTGTGGCAAAAACACTGGATTTGGGGATGAACCCCAATGTAGGCTTCAGTTTTGTCTCTACTTAAGTGAGAGCAAAACCTTCTCCCTAAAAGGAGGGTGGCACAAACCAATGAGCTGGGTCATCCCCTGGATGCTCCCTCGAGCTCGGCATGCAGGCCCACGCTTTTCCACTTGGCTGCAGAGGTTTGTAAAGCCTTTGGGCTTGCATTTGGCCTCACGGGGAAACCCTCTCTTCAAATCCGTCACTACCATCTGCGAGTCTCCTCGGTGGCCAAGTACCCTCGGTGGTGGCACAGTAGCAGGCAGAACGCGGGCTTCCTGCCTCCCGCTTCCTTCTCCTCAGAGAGGACTGGGGAGTAGCAAGCGGGCACAGGGTACACTGTCAGCGAAGCATCACCAAAGGATGCCCTGTTGCGTGTAGACTTGGACACACATCCTAATGCAAGTGTGAAAGCTCCGCTGGGGGGTGGTGGAGAAAACACAGGCCCGGACAAGGACCTGGGCTCCGGTCCCATCCCAGACAAGCTTTCTGTCCGTCTCCATCTCAGCAGCAGTGTGAGGGCTGAGCCATGCCTGGATCTTCAACAGCCTGCAGCCGTGGTCTCTTGAGATGAGGACCTCTCAGGCTCAGTGCTGTTAGCCCTGTGGACCTGGCACTTCCTTAGTATGGGTGCTGCCCTCGCTGTCCATTGCCAGATACTGAGCAGCACTCCTGGCCTCTACTTGTCTATAAAACAGGGCTGCCTCCCAATACTGCCCAACACCCTCCGAGGAGTAAAATGTCCCCTCTTGATGACAAGGACCTTAAAGAATCACCTCATGGCCTTCTCAGGGAAGAAAATCTGAACAGATCCCATTGTGCATCAAATATTTGTTGTTTCTCTCAAGGGATGTGTTAGATCTAACCCCGCGCCCACCTGGCCTTCCTCGCTACAGGGAATTCAAGAAGCTTTGGTGCCCTAAGTGCTAGAGTAACTGAAAACAGACTGTGGAGCAGACACTCCCAAGTGACTGTGCCCAGCCGGAAGGAACGCTCAGTGACATTAATTGCAGCTCCCCAGAGGGTAAGAAAAACTAAAAGCGTAAGGTTAGTGAGACTCTGTCTTACAACTTCTTCTGTGAGAAGAACGGAAGGTGTTAGCTGGAAGCCGAAGAGGATGCTTGGTCCTTTCCTGAAGAATCTGAGAAAAATGTTTACTTCCACTCAATATCTTGAACTAGGGCAAAGGTACACTTTCTAACACCCTTTCACTCTTTTCTTGTTTTATGAAAAATAAAGCTAAATTTCATAATCAAATAATAAGAGAATGACAGTAGTTATTACACTGAGCATCATTATCTCCAAAGTAGTTACTCAGTACAAAACAAAAAGATTCTTACAAAAAAGAAACAGATAACAACACGAATCTTTCTCTCTGTATCAAGCAGTAGTGTAAATGAAACCAATTAGCATATATATTGAAAAATTTCTAAAACAATGGGTTGTGGTTGGGGGAAGTATTTGGACTGCTCCCTATTTCCTGTTACCCCTCTCCTATTCTGTTCTTTATCTGTGGGCCCTTCCACGCCTGTCCTCATGCCCACGGCAGACTTAGGGACTTGATGCACACTGCTTGAAAGGCAATGGGATGGAATAAGCAAGGGGGCGCTGTGGGGGGGACTATGCACGAGAGGCCCTTGTATGTCTGCAAGGATGAGGTGGGTCTGCAGGGAGAGAGGGCTCAGGTAGCAGTATTTCCCTTCCTGTTGTCCCTGGGACTCCTGAGGAACCATGTCCACTTGTTTACTTAGCTCCAGGCACTGCTCTGGTGGCCCAGAAAATCAAAATGAAGGTGCCATGATGAAGTCCCTTCTGGGCTGAATCTAGATCTGTCTCATTTCCCAGCTCAGTGGCCTCCGTAAGCCCAGTTCTTTATTTTAACATGAGAACTTTTCAGGTAGGTCTTCAGTGTAAGCTGGGGACAGGGAGTGTTAAAGTGGGTCCGCCCAGAGCAAACTCTGCTTAACTGGAGCACTAGCAAGCTAGACAGCTGGCCTTTTGTTTATGATGAAACCACAGAGCTCAGTTCTGCTGAGAGATCACCTGCTGCATGCAGTGTACGCGTGGCCACGTCTGGGTCTCTGGGGCTCATATGCTGCGTGTTTAAAAAACCACCCATTCACTCGCACGCTGACAGATACATCACTCACCTACCTCTCGGATGAAATAGCCGTGATCTAATTGCAGGCTTCTGAGTGATAAAGGGCACTGAGTTTGCCTCTAACAGAAAGGATGGAAACTGAAAACATGTCTGTCACAGCTATAGGAAAGCTCCCAGATGCCACCAAACAAGTCCTTTCTGCATTCACAACCCAGAGATCAGCAAGCTATCACCACGCAGGAGGCTTGAAAGTTGCTCTCTGTGGTTGTTAGGACAACCAAATCCATTGGCTTTGCATCTGAAAGTACACAAGCAGGTCTTCCTGCAGAACTGATAGCAGTGCCCATCCGTGTAAATTCCTAACTCTACTAACTTTGTGCACCCGTTGGTATTCACCAGCCCAAAAAACACCAAGACATAAACACGTATTTACACAAAAGATTATCTCATGATTGCTCCAGCCAGGCCTGGTGGCACACACCTGTAATCCCAGCACTCAGGACGTTGCACCGGGGGATCATCGTGAGTTTGAAGAGAGCCTGATCTACAAAGGGCGAGCCTGTCTCAAAAAAAAAAAAAAGATATCATATTCCTTTGAGACTAAATGATGTGATAATCCTTTCATTTGAAATATTACTTATTTAATTGTAAATTTTGACTCAAAGAAATATATCTGTATACCTACATTCTACTTGTGGTCACCAATTGTCTTGGAGGAAAAAAATGGGAACAGAACTGCTCTTAAAATGAACTCAAATAAGCAAAGACTCACAACACATGATTTTGTAGATTAGCTAAGTGTTTCCCCAAACTGTGATGCTTATGCCCCTGAGGGTATAGAGATGATCTTTGAGAGGTGCATAAATGGACAGTTTTCAACAGCTTTTTGTACTTTGATGCATATTAGAAAATGTACCTGGGTCACAAATTAAAATTGATATTTCACAGATACTATTGCTCCCACCGCAAACTCTTCTTCAATTTAGGGACTCTTTGTATAAAACTACTGTGTAAGTGTTATACCTATCTGTAACACGTCAATACTGTATTGCCTCAAAAATAAGATTTAACTAGAAAACAAACCCTAGTATGATTTTTTAGGACACTCATAATATCAAACCTACCCCCAAAATATCCCTGGTTAACATCATCAGCCAGCTGGATGTATTTAGAACATTCACTGCAATGCACAAGATATATCAAATTATAAGATAATACTATTACTATGTAATTAAATATAAATTATTAATATATAATTACTTTATAATATAATTGCACTCATGTATAATTAATATATAATTAAATATAAATAAATTGTTAGCATCAATATGTAAATTATAATTAAGCATGATAAGTTAAATATTTGTAAATATGAAGCAGACACCACTGGAAGAGAGGCAAAGGCCTATGCAAACTGATGAGCTCCAGATTTATTGCCTACTGACCAAACAGAGCCCAGACGCAATGCACCAATAGCATGTACGCTTATTAACAAACGCTGCGATTGGGTCCAGTATGAATCTTCGCCATTCGCTACACTGTGTGTTGTAATGTCCTCATGTGAAATAAAGAAACATCTTCTGCATCTTGGTGCCTGCACTGATTCATCTCTTTCGGGTGGGCCATCATGCTTAGCTGTCATGATTTTCATGGCCACTCCTGTTAACACTCGATGGAATGGAAGCTGTGAAGCCCAGCCCGCAAGAAGTCTTGCTTTGGATAAAGAATCCATGGGGCAGCATCGCTGGCAGCTGTGTGGATGCCAAGCAGGTCACGTGGATAAGAAGGGCTCATGAAGGAGTTCTCTGCTGCTACACATGAAAAGCTGGGGCCAGTGGTTCCACAGGAAGTGGGGTCACAAAAAATTCAGGCCAGAATTTGGAGTTTGGAGAGTTATGATGACGTTACACCAAATGACACAACTAGGTGGCTGGGGCTATAGCTCAGCGGCATAGCGCCTGCTTTGCAAGTGCAAGGTCCTGAGTTCAATTGCTGGTACCAAAAAAAGAAAAAAAAATGTGACATGACTATATTGAATAAATGTAGATCTCTGTGCATGAATATAGATTTTGTACATGAAAAAAATAAGAATCCCCTGAAAATAAACCCTATTGCATCTTTTGAAGCAAAAGTTAATATAAGATCTTTCCTTATTTGGGGGAAGATCTGGCATGTATGGAAAAAAGCAGTAAGATGTGCCTCTGATGGCTGATGTTTAGAAGTATGGATTAAATTATTACTATTAGAGTTTGATGAGTGAGGAACAAAGCAATTACATGCCACCAATTAGCACGTCTGTCTGTTCCTTTGAAGTTTTCATTCCCACTTCTTCTTCCGGTACATTGTGCCTCCATTGACTTCAGGAGGCTTCAAGAGATAGATATACGCAGAAGAATAATGCTGTGTTCGGTTGACAAATAAGTCTACTTGTTCTGGCCAAGAATGCATGAGTTATCTTCATAAGAAGGAATAATTTTGATGTAAGAATATTTTCTCTGTTGACGAATAATATTAAATACCCAAGAAACATCAACTCCAAGGGGAAAGGTTTGCACTGTGGCTAGTGCCCTCATGTGGCTTCAAAGTTTAGCTACATTTTAAGAATTTAGGAACTCATTTCTGTTAAAAACGATAAGACATGACAGATAATGACAAAGAAAGCACATGAGAAAGAGAAACCGCTCAAGAAAATGTGATAATTCACCAGGTCCGAATCCTTTTGTTGAGCAGAATGGGATACCAATATGGCGGACAGGTTGGCTGGCCAACTGGTAGGAAATAATCAGATGTCAAAATTCTACAAGGTGTTGTTTGTTCAGTTAAAACGTTAACAAGTCACACAAGGCATTTTTATTTTAAGTTTTATTTTTATCAAAATAAAATAGTGTAACCACATAAAGAAGTAAATTTCAACAAACAACCAAGAAGCCAATTGCTTCCCCTGATTATGAACCAGCAGTAGAGTCGCAAATCTTGATGGTTGACTGCCCTCAAGAGCTCCAAGTGACAACAGCTAACGATTTTCCCTGTCTCTATTTCTTCCAATGATGAAGCTAGAACTATATATATTCCCAAATACATAAAGCACGGTTGAAAAGAATCATACAAGGTAGAAATCTAGCACACCAGATTTTCTCTATCCTGACACCAATATTTAATGAATTCTGAAAGATAAGGGCAAGAAATTGAGCTTAAAGATGGAGAAATGTAGTGTTTCAAAAGCCAAGTGTCTCTCCCACGTGACCCATGGGACTAACAATTGGAGAGAAGAAAAACACCCCAGCCCTGCTTGCTGTAGTGGGGATACGATCGCCCATAGAGCCAACTGGCAGGCCGTTTTCTCCTCCCCATGTTAAATTATGTCTGGCAAGTTGAGCAGCAGCACAGTCCCACAGTGATGACAGCTTCCACGGCTATAAAAACCTGCCGCACCAGGAAAACTTCGTGTGAAATGCAAATTTCCATACCGGGGAAATAATGAATAAGGTGACCATTCTAAGCAATGAATGGAAATGCAAGGAGATGCTTTGTGGCATGAGATTGCAAATCATTTATGTTTCAAGCCAAGAACTGTGGTCACAATGCACTTTGCAAGCCCCATCTTCCAAACTCAGCTTGGAAATGGAAGTGGTTATTCACCAAGCTACGGCCACGGTTTCATGTGAACTCAGCAACATCCCGCCCTATTCTTTGGATCACTTGGCAAGGGAGTCACAGTTTCTCCTGGTTGCTATATGAACCAAAAGAATATTGGTTTTATCTAGAACCCCAAAGCTTATGTCTAATAGGAAGGACGAGCTGTTCTTCATCACGCTTAAAACAAGGCGGATTCAGGTCATCCACCAAAACCTGCATGGCTTTAAGGGTCAGTTCAGGGTTTATGTTTCTATGGGAGGAAGTGACACTGCTTTCCTCCCCACATCTTTAGAAGTGAGATGAGACCAGTCACAGATAGAATTAGCGAGATGGACCAGTGCCCTGGAGCAGGCCAAAGAATGCAAAGGGTCCTTCACTCAAACTCTGCCCACATCCCGGGGGCCACGCTCCATGGAGGAACTGAGAACCAGTAAGTTCAGACCCTTAGCTGAAACACAAGAAAATAAACAGCATAGGGAAGAGAAGAACTCTCTAGTCTTCAACCTCCGGCTTGCCTTGTTCTTAAATAAAATTTCTTTTCTCTTAATCATCATGCAGGATGTACTTGTAGGAGGTAAAATTTGCAGTAATTATCAATTGATAAGACTGAAATCTTATTTTCCATAACTCAAATTGGGTTAAGGGTTGCTGGTGTTACCCTTCAAATGCATTTCAATAATTGTATTTCACTTTAAGAAAACCCATAGGAAAATCAGGTTTATATAAATCAGAGATTATTGCTTTATGGACGAATTCTCCATTAATCCCAGCTTCCAGGGAGGTTGAGACTGCTGGAGGGTTGTGAATTCAAGTGCACCCCTGGGCAATTTAGCAAGATCCTGTTTTTTTTTTTAAAAAAAAAGTGAGAGGTGATTAGAATATCTTCTACAGCCAGCTCCCCTAGGGTCAATTATTTTTTGAAAAGTCCACTGAAATATAGTTTTTTACAAATCTTGGGAACATCGTCACACGGTAGCTATATGACCAGGAAGGCAGCAAACTGCCTACCTTTGTAAGCAACTGGGGTTGTTAAGGAGATGGAAATCCACATTCTGCCATATTGGTTCAGGGTTAGGCTGGGGCAGCCAGCCATGTGGCTCATAGGAGGACAGTATTTTTATGGCTATCCTGAAGTCAGAGTTCCTTAGGGCTGTGACTTACTGATTTGGATTCAATGCACAATTTGGAACAGAAGGAACCGGAAGATGGTTTTCTACCCCTGATCAGCATCTCCCAAGAAAAAGTAGCTGATTCAACTTACGTTGTCTTCCATTCATGATTAGTGTTCTGGATTTGCTTCTTAATTTTCTGAATTATGAGCCAACATTTGTAAGCTGTATGATTGCTCCCTAAAGCCTGGGACTCTGAAGAAGCCTTAGATGGAGTTTCACTAAGCTCGAATTCTGCATAGCAAAACTGATGAAAGTCTCAGTTCCTCACAATCCCACCCCGATTCCTCCCATGAGATACCGTGGGACAATGGTTTTCCTTGGGCTCCATCTCCAAGCCAGAGAACTTATGTTGGAATGGAAAGGTACCTTGTCTGTCATTAGCTCTCGCCAGGATCAGAGCCTGTCGAGACTTTCATTCACCTCATCATGTTCAATTCTTTCTTATTTAAGGAATCTGGGGTACAAGGACAACAATCCCTGATTTTCCAGCTAAAGAGACAGCCCTGATTTCATCTACCTCCCCCGAGGTAGGCTGCTCCCTACCCTGCCCTTCTCATCACAGGGGCATAGATCATTCAAAGGATAAAGAATCCCCGCATTGCTTTTGTTTGGTTTTAAAGTGTACTAAGCTTATGTCTAATGTGCTTTTCACCTCCCTTTTAATGCCATTGTTACCTGGGCTTGTAATCATTAAGATTTCTATGAGTGCATATGAAATAACCACAGACCTACGCTAAATAATCAGGAGAACGTGGCGTTGCATTGAAATTTTCTATGAATAACACCCAAACTGGCGAGCACGAATGAAGATATTGAAGTTGAACCCTACTTAGTCACGGCAAGGACTCACTGAAGTGTATTCAGAGGTCTGAGATGCTGTGCATTGTTCCTTGCCTTGGAAGTACAAGAAATAGTGTGAACGATTATTACATCAAAGTTAAGCCAAAAGAGCTTGGCTACAAATTTCAAATTGTACAAAATCATAACAAAAGCAAGTATAAAATCATATTGAAATGCATCAGTGTAAACCTCTTTAAGTTTTTCCTTTCCCATTTAAGGAGAGGGAGGGAAGGCAGGAAACTCGGGGCTCAGCCTTGTGGGCTGACTGAGGTCGGTCTGCTATTTTTCTCAGCCCAGGGTGCCCTGGCTTGGAATACTGGGGAATTTTATCCTCGCTGTTCCGATTTGCACGATACAGAGGCTGATTTAATTTGACAGCAAAGTAACACCAAGCCCCCAAAATAAAATTACCGAGATGTAAAACAGCGTCAAAACTCCAATTAGTTTTGTATCCTTGAAGCTTCTGGAGGAAATCTGAAAGGCTCCCGTCATGAGGAGAAGGCATCAATTCAAGCCGCACAGATTACCAAAATGTAACCCTCTAATTGAAATTGCTCAGAGCACAATATGACAAAAAGAATCAGAGAAAAATAAGTGAATTTTTCCCCCTCAAAAAGTGACTCATGACAGATTGTTCTATTGACTTTTAACACAACGTTCTTTTGCAAGAGCTAAAAAAAAAAAAAAAAAAAAAGAGTCTTAGGGGTCTCACAGAAAAAGCACCAGGTACAAAAGCAGTACGTGCTTGGGTTATTGGACCAGACACGAGCATTGGTCATTTGTGCAACACTTAAAAAACATCAACCAGATCATAGGCATTTGGAGATGTATTTACAGCTTCCACCAGGAGGACATTTTCCTGAGAAACCACCGAAGCGGTTTGTGCAGGACTCTGAATTTTGTCTCCCAAAGGAACAGAAGGACCTTGATGCTCAGTTCACACGCAGTCTTTCTTTCAAGCCACCCCAGTCATCCCAAGCATGCTTCCCATCTTGAAGCAAACCTTCAGCTCACTAAGGGAGAAGTGGGTGGCACTGGCTTGGCGGAGTCCACTTGCCAGTAGATGTACCGCGGTGGGCCTCGCAGCTAATGCCGTTCTACCAGAGTGAAGCAGGCGGGGCTGATGCCGTGAGTCAAGGCCTGGTCACTGTGCACAGTGGGCCTTCGCTGGGTGTGCTTCATGGGCTGCCTTTGTCCTACTGAGTGTCCTAAAGGCGATCAGGACCGGAGGAGCTGGGAAAGGGTGTGGCCCAACCGGAGGTTTGGAGTTGGCTGGAGTTGGCTTTGAAGGAATACGGAATGGCTTTCGGACTGATAGGTGTCTGATAAATAGAGTTCAGAGAATCTACCAGCACAATGACTCCTGATTGAGAAGCGCTGATAGTCGCAGGTCGTGGACGCCACCTTTCTCCGGAGGGTCAGATTTCTATGACCAGTCGGTCTTCATCATCGCTGCTGGTGTCACTCAGCTCCACGCGCGTCTGCTTCCTCATCCCCTCCAAACTCCTCTTCCTGATGGATTTCAAAGGAGCTTCAGGGACTTCTGAAGGCTTCCCGGGTTTAGAAGGGACCACACAACCCTTTGCAGTGATGAATCCAGACATGTGGCTTTCCTCACTGTGATTTCCTGCAGCAGGGGAGGGGACGGCCGTGTCCCCACACCCATACTGGCCCCTAGCAGGAAAAGCCTTCCCTTCCTCTTGGTAGGAGCTCACTGAACTTGACATTTCAAGATGAGTTTTTCCAGTGGAGTCCAACGGAGCCAAACCTGAAACAGTTTGTCCAGATGAAGGTTTCTCCGGCAAGAGTGTCTGTGATGTGCTCTCTTCTATGAGCCTTCTATGCGGGGAGCTTTGTGCTAGAGACCCTCCTGTGACCCGGCTGTGGTCACGTGGCTCCAAACTGTGAACTCCCGGCCTGGTGTGACTTGCTCTTACCCCTAGAGAAATACAGATGGCAGCTGGCGGGGTATCCACGGCGTGGCAGGCCGAAGGTTCTTTGGGTCCAGGAGGAGGCTCTTGAGCATCTGAGAAAGTGCACGACATGGGGTCTTTGGAGACCTGGTCCTGCGACGGCAGCTGCTGAGTCTCCAGCAATCCAACAGCGAGACCTTGGCCAGGGGGCAAAGAGTCCTCCTCGGGCACTGCCAAGCGGGCATCAGACTGCAGCGATGATTCCAGCAGCGTGACAATGTCCTCCTGAGTAGAGCAGTCATTGGGCTCACCCACAGATGGAGAAATCTCCTGCAGTAAAGCACAAAGGAGGAGAAATGGCGGGGGAAAGGTTAATTGGTACAAGGAAAATGTGGTCAGAAAAGTAGTCCTCAATGAAAACGAGGTCTCGAGGTCTTCGTGATTCTTTGCTGAGCATAAACTTCAACACGAGACCCTCAGGAAGTTTCCATTAATAACTAATTGGTGCATTAGCTCGAGAAAGGCTTATTATTGATACAAAGTAGGTTACTGAGACAGCTATGTGTTTTGATCTGGCTTTATTAAAAAATAAAGCCACTCAATTATCCAACCAGCCCTAAGCTTCCTACTTTCAACCACCACCACTCGTAAAGTTGATGTACAATTTATTGCTCCGTATACTGAAGTGTTTTTCAGATTAACATCAGTATTTTAGTGGTTTTCTACACGCGGCCCCACGATCTCCCTGGGGGTGATGTCATGCTGCAGTAATGTCTGAAGAATGGTAATGTCTCTCTTTGGGTATAAATTAATAATGTACTTAGGGTTTTCAAGAAATCATCTCAACAGTTTCACAAATCAGTTACCCGATTTTTCAATGCAGAAGGCTTGGAATTTTGGGGGGGGGGGTTGATAGTGGACTTTTTATTCCAGGAAGTTCCAGTAGGTGGTCCTTGCAAGTTTTGCCACGCCGGACAATGACAAGAAAAGAGAACCAAAAATCTATAAAAGGGACAAACAGCAACAGTGCACCATCATAATTCCCACCTTGCTGGCTAATTTATCTGTTTCCCTGCTGGCCCTTGAACCCGTCACAGAAGAGACCATTTCTGAGGTTGGTCTGCGGGCATCTTCCTTCTCTGCATCCCCACACACAGGAGACAATGGCGAGGTGACACAAGCAGGCGCTCCTTGTAGACTGAGACCTGGAAAGGAGACATGTTCACATCCACCCGGAATTCTAAACAAGCAAAGGATAGTCTCCTGGGGGGTCATCCGTGCATTCAGGGTTATCCTCAAGCTCATTCCCCTTCACCCCACACAGAACGTGTTATGAGAACTCAGCTTACCTTAAGCAGTCTATGTGTGGTCCAATAGTCCACACTTCTGCTGAGAGATGAGAAAGCAAACCCCAAGGAGAAAAATCCCTAAATGATATATATTGCAAACGATATTGCATGCATCTCTTCATCAGACTCATCTCCCTGGTCATGTTTAGGTTGATTGTGGGGCACTCTGAATGTTCTGACTTGTAAAATCAGATGCCGGAGTAGAAGCTTCTCTCTGGACCCTGCGTCTCAGCCTGCACCGACGCCCTGAGCAGCAGGGCAGGAGGCTGGGTTTGTGGTACGGATGTGGGCGGTCATGATTAGGACAGCTGGGCGAAGCTGACACTGTCCACACAGCAGCCTTTGTCACAACTGCAGTCTCCTCGTCCCTTAGCCTTTCTTCTATTTCCTCGTAGGAACTCAGGGTACCAGTCAAAAGGACCCAGAATTTCAAAGATGAATCAAGAAAAGCATGGAGAATACCTGCATCTTTAGAGGCATGGAGCCTACTTTTAAATTATACACTTAGAGTTTGAAAAGTCAAACTTTTCTACTCATTAAGAAACCCAGAAACCCCTGCCCATCCACTCATCTTTTCCCACTTTGAATTCTTTTGAAATTTGCCTTCTTCACTTCTCCTGCTGTGCTTGCAACAGTGATGGTGAACCTTTTAGAGCTTACAGTGACAACAGACAGCCCACACGGGCCACAGAGGACCACCACTGCTTACGGTGTCACTTCTCAACTTGCCTTCGGTTTGGAGCACAGTCTCTGATCTCCGTCACCCCTTTGTCCCCTGAACAGCAAGGCCATACACTTATCGATTAAAAATGGGTCTTTTAGATCTGAGTCACATTCATTTTAGAGAAATATGCTTGTTAATGGCCATGCATAAAGGGTTGTTTTTAAATATCTACACACAATGGAAAGGCTAGAAAAGTCCACTAGCATATGATTTTTTTTAGGTGGGGAGAGTAGTACAAACACATAAAATCTTGCTCAGCAATCTTCAAGAATACAATTCATTGTTTTTCACTAAACAATAGTGAGATGTAGTACAATAAATTTCTTGATCTTAGGTATCATTACTTTGATACCGCTAGTTCATCTTTTCTTTCTTTATGTAATTTTTATTAGGTGACTTTCCCTCCTGGGATTATCTGCCTCTTTCTTATCTATTATCTATTGCTTTGTCTTCTTGTTTTACTTGTGGCAGAATTCCTACATCTTTGAATCCTAATTCTTGCATAGTCTAGTCCTGCTATCCTGTGTTTGATTTCTAGTAATTTTTCTGAGAGTCTCAGGGGTCCGAGGCAGGAAGGAGTCTGGGGGTCCAGGGGGCTGGAGCTTGGCAGTGAGGGGGGAAGAGCTCAAGCAGAGGTGCAGGTTCAGGATGAAGGCGGGGAGCCAGGCAGGCACTCAGCTTGGACTCGTGAGGTCCAACTGGCCGTGGTTGAGAGCTCAAATTCTGTTCTGCATTCAGAAAGGAGCCACTGTCATCAGCAGGGCAGGGCAGCTGACGTATCCACTGTTAAACCCACTGCCCCCAGGAGACCAACTTGGAGGAAGAGGGGTGGGCAGGCCAGTCACCAGGTGAGTGGGTGCTCTGAGGGCCAGCGGCTGACTCATCAGGGCAGAGGAAGCAGAAATGGAGAAAGCGGAGTGATTCTGAATAGATTTTCATTCTTAGCCATGACAAATTACCACGTAGTGATCATGATGACCAACATTTCTACAGCCTCCACGTCTACGTACAACCAGCTCTTCTCACCCTAAGTGGATTATGCTCTGTCCCCACAGTGACAAGACAACCTGGCAATTCATTCAATCCAATGAAGAAGGAAAACCAATTAGTATAGAAAAAATAATCAGATTAGCCAAATATCTTCCCAACAAGTTGCCTGGGTGTTTCAGCTGATGCAGAAAGGTCATGCGCGCATTTGACAAATAACTTCTGGCTCATGTTAGAGAGCAAAGGAAGAAAATCCAGTGATTTAATTTGCTTTTGACCCTACAGTCTACAGAGAAAAGTGAGTTATCTCTAGTAATTGTGAAAAATGCCAAAATCATGTCACTGAAGTGTGTTAAACTAATTTGGATTATTGAAGCAAGACGCTAACTTGTTTTTAAGTGAATGGCCTTTTTCAAAAACTAAGCCACGCTCTGGTCAAATTTTAAAGCACATAATGTGGTCCCGTTTGGGCTGCAGCATCATACCGTATGAATCACTTCCTGCGTGTTCAGAGATCGCAGGATGCCACCATCTTGATCTTCAGAAATTCAGCGGCTCTGATACAATTATGTGAATCTTATTAGAGAAGCCATTTCTCATCACAGCTCTGCTCTTCTGTCCTTTCCCTGATTAAAGGCTGCATTTTTAATAATTTCTCTCAGAAATAATTGCCCCACCACATTGGGAGGAAAGAGAAAGCTTAAACTATTACAGCAAGTGTAAATTTAGACCTCTTGAAAAGGCTACAGGAAACTGTAAAATAATTAAAAAGAAAATGAAGTGAAGATACAATATAATGAAACTTACAATGCAACTATAGACATCTTTAATGCCAAACCTGCTTCTGGCTGTCTAATTTCTAGGCTTTATTAAAATGCTAATAAATGTATTATTCAAATATCATTATCTGAAAATATAAGTAATTTGAAGCATTTCTTTTGGTTTGTCTTTGCACATCAAAATCTCCATTAACGTCAAGTCCACAGACTAAATTACAAGGGCTAAGCCTCCTAAGCAAGCTGCTAGTATAAACACGAAGGCTGTAATAATCTCCTCCTCTTAATTGATTTGAGATTAGGTTGTTCAGAAGTATCCCTGCCATTAAAGAATGCACAATGTGCTGGCAATTAAAATTTGCAATTAAAGAAAGCAGGGCAGATCTTGAAAAGTAACCACTTGGTGGACAGCGATCTGCTCATTTATTCTAATATTTACTGAGCTCATGTTTCTTGAAGCCCATATTTTTGGAGCCCGTTTCGCAGACCGAAGTACGGAGCCCAGTAGTTACTGGAACACCGGCGCAGCCAACGTTGCGCTGACAGCTGGCCTAAAAGCAGGAGTTTGTTTGGCGTCCAGTGAGGCAGAGGACACCCTCACGGAAATTACCGTCTAGTAGGGGAGAAGTTCAGTAAGCAAATAATTGCACACAAAAAGCCACCAAGCAAATGTAGTAAACACTCTGAAAGAAATACCAAAAAGATGTTCAGAGTCAGAGAGACAGGGCCTGACCCAGTCTATATTTATGGAAAAAGAGTAAAACCATAAACAGGAAGATTGCCTGCCACTAACTCCTTTGCTGATGGTTTTATCACTAATTAGTTTGAGTCGTTCAATCATGTAATTATTCAACCCATTTTCTTTAAGTCCCTGCTGCATGCCTGGTGTTGTCACAGGGTTATTTGACAGTAAATTCATTTGTCTCCACAATGCTATTACAGTTTTTGTTTATGGAGCCTCTTTAGGGAAAATATGACTGAAAGAGAGGCAGAGGGGGTCTGTTCCTTCCCAGCAAGGGACGTCAGAGACGTCAAACGTCAATGCCAATCAGACGATAATCAGAAGTCGGCAGATGCTAAGTGGGCAGAAGCAGCCTCAGACTTTAGCTCCCCAGGCAGCGAGGGACCCAGGAGAGGGCTAGAGATGTGTGTTTTTGAAGGACAGCCCCACAGGTCTTCCCGCGCTGCCCTAACACAGCCTTTCAAAGTTTGCCTCTAAGTGATCATAAACCAATGTCTCATTCCGGCAGTGGCTTCTCCCAGCAAATCTCATCTCTTTTCTATTTCTTTGATGAAAGGCGATCAGGATGAATGGTCCTGGATACCCCTCACCTAAACTATGTTTAGGGCAAAATGGTGTTTAAACTCCAGCTTTACGTTAAAACGCCATCACGTCCAGACAACAAAACTGTGGCCTTCCAATGCAGAGTCAAAATAGGATTTTGAATCTGCAGAAAGAAAAAAGCAAGATGACAAAGGAGATGCTGCTTGAAACACTAAATTCCAGGACCAAACCCAGACAATCTACTTCACGTGTCATTTTTAAAAGTTTCTTGTCGCTAAATGAAAATCGTCTATGTGGGTCTCTTCCCTGGAATATAATCGATACACCTGGAACGGCTTCTTCTTCTTCCTCAAGATTTACACCCCAGAATAAAGAGAAATTTTTCTATTCCAGCAATCTTAGAGCACTGTGATTTAACTAATAGCTGTGGGGGGATGAATTAATAATTCTCCATTAATCCTAATGAGAAAAGAAGGGGTCATCTTGAAGAGACCTAGGAAGTCCTTTCAGAAAAGGGGGGCAGGAGGGAGGGCTTCCACAGACTCCTGTGCACTGCACACCTCAGAAATCCCCGTGGAGGAGAATTCTGGGGTGCCATGTGCAGGGAGAGCAGAACCCCCAGGACAGGAGAGCTCCCCCGGGCCTCCCACCAGCAAACAAAAGAGACCACCCAAAAACACACGGGAGCAAAGGCGCTGCGTACCTTTGCACCGGGACCTTTCCAGCCTTTTCATGCACTGTTTGGAAAATGGCCTCTTTCATGTGTGTGTAATCAGGTGACACTTTTGCTTCAGAAGTCACCTGTAATCGCGACGGTCCTGCCTCTCTGCTCCTGAGATGAAAGGAGCAGGTTTTGATCGCTTTATCCTCTCCAATAGTTTCAACTCACGACTGGGGCTGGCTTGGAGCATTTCTGCACCTTAAATCTTGCTCGTGTACAGAATTCAACCAAGCTTTTTCTTCAGCAAGTGAAATCATAAAAACTGCCCAGGAACCATCTTTTGGAAATTTCTCTCAAAATTTACTGAGGAAAATATGCTGGGTGTGTTTGTTTAAATCTGTCGTGCTCCATCAGAAGTGACGT